TTATTATTATTATTATTATTATTATTATTATTATTATTATTATTATTATTATTATTATTATTATTATTATTATTATTATTATTATTATTATTATTATTATTATTATTATTATTATTATTATTATTATTATTATTATTATTATTATTATTATTATTATTATTATTATTATTATTATTATTATTATTATTATTATTATTATTATTATTATTATTATTATTATTATTATTATTATTATTATTATTATTATTATTATTATTATTATTATTATTATTATTATTATTATTATTATTATTATTATTATTATTATTATTATTATTATTATTATTATTATTATTATTATTATTATTATTATTATTATTATTATTATTATTATTATTATTATTATTATTATTATTATTATTATTATTATTATTATTATTATTATTATTATTATTATTATTATTATTATTATTATTATTATTATTATTATTATTATTATTATTATTATTATTATTATTATTATTATTATTATTATTATTATTATTATTATTATTATTATTATTATTATTATTATTATTATTATTATTATTATTATTATTATTATTATTATTATTATTATTATTATTATTATTATTATTATTATTATTATTATTATTATTATTATTATTATTATTATTATTATTATTATTATTATTATTATTATTATTATTATTATTATTATTATTATTATTATTATTATTATTATTATTATTATTATTATTATTATTATTATTATTATTATTATTATTATTATTATCATATTATATTATTATTATCATTATTATTATCATTATCATTATCATTATCATTATTCATTATCATTATCATTATTATCATTATCATTATCATTATCATTATCATTATCATTATCATTATCATTATCATTATCATTATCATTATCATTATCATTATCATTATCATTATCATTATCATTATCATTATCATTATCATTATCATTATCATTATCATTATCATTATCATTATCATTATCATTATCATTATCATTATCATTATCATTATCATTATCATTATCATTATCATTATCATTATCATTATCATTATCATTATCATTATCATTATCATTATCATTATCATTATCATTATCATTATCATTATCATTATCATTATCATTATCATTATCATTATCATTATCATTATCATTATCATTATCATTATCATTATCATTATCATTATCATTATCATTATCATTATCATTATCATTATCATTATCATTATCATTATCATTATCATTATCATTATCATTATCATTATCATTATCATTATCATTATCATTATCATTATCATTATCATTATCATTATCATTATCATTATCATTATCATTATCATTATCATTATCATTATCATTATCATTATCATTATCATTATCATTATCATTATCATTATCATTATCATTATCATTATCATTATCATTATCATTATCATTATCATTATCATTATCATTATCATTATCATTATCATTATCATTATCATTATCATTATCATTATCATTATCATTATCATTATCATTATCATTATCATTATCATTATCATTATCATTATCATTATCATTATCATTATCATTATCATTATCATTATCATTATCATTATCATTATCATTATCATTATCATTATCATTATCATTATCATTATCATTATCATTATCATTATCATTATCATTATCATTATCATTATCATTATCATTATCATTATCATTATCATTATCATTATCATTATCATTATCATTATCATTATCATTATCATTATCATTATCATTATCATTATCATTATCATTATCATTATCATTATCATTATCATTATCATTATCATTATCATTATCATTATCATTATCATTATCATTATCATTATCATTATCATTATCATTATCATTATCATTATCATTATCATTATCATTATCATTATCATTATCATTATCATTATCATTATCATTATCATTATCATTATCATTATCATTATCATTATCATTATCATTATCATTATCATTATCATTATCATTATCATTATCATTATCATTATCATTATCATTATCATTATCATTATCATTATCATTATCATTATCATTATCATTATCATTATCATTATCATTATCATTATCATTATCATTATCATTATCATTATCATTATCATTATCATTATCATTATCATTATCATTATCATTATCATTATCATTATCATTATCATTATCATTATCATTATCATTATCATTATCATTATCATTATCATTATCATTATCATTATCATTATCATTATCATTATCATTATCATTATCATTATCATTATCATTATCATTATCATTATCATTATTTATCATTATCATTATCATTATCATTATCATTATCATTATCATTATCATTATCATTATTATTATTATTATTATTATTATTATTATTATTATTATTATTATTATTATTATTATTATTATTATTATTATTATTATTATTATTATTATTATTATTATTATTATTATTATTATTATTATTATTATTATTATTATTATTATTATTATTATTATTATTATTATTATTATTATTATTATTATTATTATTATTATTATTATTATTATTATTATTATTATTATTATTATTAATATTAATATTAATATTAATATTATTATTATTATTATTATTATTATTATTATTATTATTATTATTATTATTATTATTATTATTATTATTATTATTATTATTATTATTATTATTATTATTATTATTATTATTATTATTATTATTATTATTATTATTATTATTATTATTATTATTATTATTATTATTATTATTATTATTATTATTATTATTATTATTATTATTATTATTATTATTATTATTATTATTATTATTATTATTATTATTATTATTATTATTATTATTATTATTATTATTATTATTATTATTATTATTATTATTATTATTATTATTATTATTATTATTATTATTATTATTATTATTATTATTATTATTATTATTATTATTATTATTATTATTATTATTATTATTATTATTATTATTATTATTATTATTATTATTATTATTATTATTATTATTATTATTATTATTATTATTATTATTATTATTATTATTATTATTAATAATTAAGCTCGAGTAGCTCCTCTTATAATATTACATTCTCCACTTACATTTCATCAAATGGATTTATGATCCATGGTGGTATTTCCATTGACAGAATATCTTCAAATCTGAATTTAAAATCATCATGCAGGGCAATCAAATGTTGAACGTATGTCTGAATATCTTCATCAAGGCATTCTACCTGCGACAAGTTTGAAAACTGTGAAAATTCGCGCCGACCAATATTTTCCTTCATAAATTTCAATTTACCAAGAAAAGTTGAAATTACACTCTTTGTTTCTATTAAATTGAGGCTGTCCCCTTGTAATTGTAAGTTAAGGTAATTAAAATTTTTGAACAAATCTGTCAATACGCGATGTCTGCTTTAAAATTGATCAACTTTTAATAAATGTCTTTTCTCGACATAAAAATTTTTATAGCACCACTGTGACTTTTCTGTTTTTGTAAACTTTTATGAAGCTACTTTGTTTTATATGTATATAAAAAGAGCTCCACGAACCAAAAAAAATTTACGGTAATTATTTAATATTTTTATCAATTTGTAATGATGAGAGAAATTCTAAAAAATTTGTTAATTAACAATAACCTACTTTGTTGGAAAATTAGTTTTTATGAAAAATTCCAACGGGAATGAATTCTTCTAAGTGTTTAGAATACACCGTAATATTTTTAAATTTTTGAATTTAATTTTATTGACTTAAAAAAATTATTTTATGTAACGTACTCGGTTTCGACGCCGTGCGCGCAACCTAAAAATGGCGCGCGGAAAGCTACTTTGAGCGTTTAACTAAAATCATAAATAATGGAGGTACAGTTCCGGGAGTCGGAACTCATTTATAGCAAATTTCCTCCTCTTTAAGGATCTTTTTTGAAAAATCCAAAAATATTTATAGTTTACAAACTATAGGCGAAAAACCTAACACCATGTTTTTGAGGTGTTTAATTGTTTATAACTTTTGCAATTTTTTATGCACTGCAAAATTTTTCTTTACACACTGATCTAGACATTATTCTGAATCGAATGAGCTATTGAACATAATTTTCGTAATAGTGTGTCCCAAAAACACGCTTTTGAACTTGTTGATTAGACTATTGTTTTTGAATTATTTTGTACCCTTGTGTATGTATTAATATATTTTGTACCCTTGTGTATGTATTAATAAGACTACTGTATCCAAATTCTGCTAATATATTTAAATATTCATGAGTATAATCAATATCAGATTTTAAATCAATATTTATATCTCCTGCGAATATGTAGTTATTATTATCGCATGTACAATGACTATTTAAAAATTTATAAAGATTTCTATTGAAGTCGTACGGACAACTACTTGGAGATCGGTAAAATGCGTCTATAATAAGATTTTTTTTAACACCTTCGATTATTGCCTTAAGTACTTTAAACTCGCCTAACATATATTATTACTCCATCATTTTGATTGTGACTACCATTATTATATTGTATTAAATATCCAGGTATTTGAAAAAAATTTAAATTTGACACCTCCCACGTTTCTGTAAAAATTATTATATCCAATGTAAGATGTAATTTTTGTAAGAAGGTAACTATTTCAATAAAATTTTTATTGATACTTCTTATGTTCGCTTGAAAAATTGAAAAATTTGGTGGTGCTATTGATTTTATTTGTGTTTCAATACCTTTGTCATTACTAATTTCTGCTGTTTGGAAGTCAGTGTAGTGAAAATCTCTAATATATTGATCCATTTTGATTATTTTTCCAAATATAATTATAAAAGTAAATATATAAGATTTAGAATGCTGACCTAAATTAAAAACGGAAACACGATGAATTACACAGATTAGATTTACTAGCTGCGAATTTTGTTTTTAATAATAAAATAAAATTGATCACATTAACGGTTAGAAGAGGTGGAGCCAAATCGTGTTGTCCTATCAGATTTTTCGTTGGTAGTTGCGATTTTTGATGTTTTTGTTCCTTTATTGAATTTAGTAGGTTTTGGGGTTTCTTTGTTTCTTTCAACCAGTGGAACCACAGTTTGTTCTGGACTAAATTTATCTTGTAGAGTAGGAGTTGGCGGTACACTATTGGGAGTTTTTCCGTCGATAAATGTAAGTTCTTCAACTGTGCATTTTTCTCCATCCAGTATTAGATGAGATTCTTTGATGTAACAATTGTTGTACTTTCCACTTTTTTAAAATTTATTAAGTGAGTATTTAGATTTTTATAATCTTCACGTTGACTTTGCGTTAGATCCTCAGAAATGGAGTAATTAGTTCCTTTTAGCCTGTTTTTGTTTTCAAAAATTTCCCGTTTCTTAATAAAAAGAAGTCAATTTTAATTTTAAAGGGGCAGAATTAGTCTTTCCTAATGAGAAAAAGTTACTGATTTGGTCTTCTTTTATATGAACACCGATTAGGTCAAAAATTATTTGGATAATAAAATTGGCACAGATGCCTTTGGGTGGCTTACTTAATCCAAATATGACAATACAAATATTCTACTTTATTTTTGAGCTCTTGATTCTCAGCCTGCAGTAATTTTATTTTATTATTATTTTCTTCCAATTTCATTAAAAGTCTAGTTTCACTCGAATCTGTAGAATTTTTCAGCTCCTTTCTAGTGCAGTGGATTTCTTCTATCACTTTTTTCAGAGATTCTTCAATTATTTTTTCTATAGCTGCTTCACCCATGTAACGTTTTTATTTCAAAATTACGATTTTGTAGCATACGATTAAAACCAATTAAAAATACCTTATTATAAAATAAATAGTATTACTTCTAAAACGTAAAGTCTCCACGTCAACGTCTAAAAGCAACGATTATGGCTTGCGGGCATCTTACAATATCCATTACTCATCGCAAAATCTGGGAAACCGCACACCATTGGAAAAAATTTAATTTTACCAGCTGTGTAATGGTTAGAACCGTTTTCGTTATTTAGACCCAAACATTGTAACGGTTGGAACCGTTTTCGTTATTTTGACGCAAACATCTCTACTCTAATGTCATTTGTCGTTTATGCCTTGCGTCAAAAGCTCATTTTTCATTTCGATTGTCAACGATTAAGTTGATTTAAATTTTTAATTATCTGGGTCATCCGATGTACTAAATAAAGTTTATCTATCGTATAGGCCGTCTGATTTTATAAGGTAAGCTTTTATACCGATATATTGTTGAAAATATATATTTTGTACAAGAATTTCTAATTAAAATGTCAAATTTAAAACATAACCTCAACATGAAAAACACAAATTTTATATATTATTTTGTTTGGAATGAGATAATATGCTTTACTATATTTAAATATGTTAAATAAGATTTTTCCTTTTCATATTGATTTTAGTCTCTGTGAAACTATTCACTTAATAGTTTAAATTGTTCAATTAATAGTAAAAAGCATTTTATCTGGTTCCTTTACAAACTTCCTAGTTCCTTTATTAATATTTTCACCTTTTCCTTGTAGCCTGGCTATATATAGACGGTATAGAAGTTATAGAGGTATATAAGTTATAGAAGTATACAAGTATAGAAGTTTTAGAAGTTCAGTTCAAGCTGTATCGAAGAAGTTCATTTCGAGTCATATCAAGAAGTTTAATAAAACTGTTTATGCTGATTTCTATCAAAAGGTTTAGTTCAAGCTGCATCTAAAGAAGTATGAGATTTGTGTTCATGAAGATTAATACCTGTGCTGTCCGAAAAGTATCGTTTCGAGTCCCTTCGAAGAAGGCTTCTACAAGTCACTCCTTATATGCAATCTCTTGTACCACAGATAAGTGAATAAATCATCTAAATTTGAATAAGTAAGTCTCTGTGAATTAGAATTTGTTGCTACCTTATCTAAAACTTTATTTAATTATAATATCTTAATGGTAAGTGATCTTCTATATTTTTATCACTAATCGATAGTCAAGTTTAGTAAGTTTTAAATATAGTGGCACTCAACATACTTTTTCAAAGTAATACGAGTTATTTAATAACCTGACCCACTCCCCAAAATCATAAGAGCTTAAAACACTATAAAAAATAGATAAAATAACAAGTATCATGTTGAAGAGGTTTTAAAAATGTTCTGCACAAATCTTCATTTGACATACTCAAAAGAATTTCTTTGAGTAACAACACTGTACAAAGACGTATTGATGAAATGAGCTCTGATGTTGAAAGTTTCTATCTATGAACAACTCATTTTTCTATTAAACTGGACGAGTCAACTTTACCTGGCAATGATGCATTATTATTGGCATATGTTTGATTTGTTATGGGCGAAGAATTTCATGAAGAGCTACTATTTGCGAAAACTTTGAAGACGGACACTAAAGGTGAATCAATATTTAATGTTTGGAGTGATTTTTTTTAAAGAAAAATCGATTCCATTCACAAACGTTATCTCGGTGGCACAATTGTGCGATGAGAATGATGAAGACTTCCAACGGTTGCTGTTACATACCGAAGTACGTTGGTTGTCGAAAGGTGCATGTTTATCAAGATTTTATTTACTTTTTGACTCAGTTTTAGAGTTTTTGGAAAGTAAAGATCCTGATTTAAAAAAAAAGTTGATCAATTTTAAAGCAGACATCGCGTATTGACAGATTTGTTCAAAAATTTTAATTACCTTAACTTACAATTACAAGGGGACAGCCTCAATTTAATAGAAACAAAGAGTGTAATTTCAACTTTTCTTGGTAAATTGAAATTTATGAAGGAAAATATTGGTCGGCGCGAATTTTCACAGTTTTCAAACTTGTCGCAGGTAGAATGCCTTGATGAAGATATTCAGACATACGTTCAACATTTGATTGCCCTGCATGATGATTTTAAATTCAGATTTGAAGATATTCTGTCAATGGAAATACCACCATGGATCATAAATCCATTTGATGAAATGTAAGTGGAGAATGTAATATTATAAGAGGAGCTACTCGAGCTTAATTATTAATTATTAATAATAATAATAATAATAATAATAATAATAATAATAATAATAATAATAATAATAATAATAATAATAATAATAATAATAATAATAATAATAATAATAATAATAATAATAATAATAATAATAATAATAATAATAATAATAATAATAATAATAATAATAATAATAATAATAATAATAATAATAATAATAATAATAATAATAATAATAATAATAATAATAATAATAATAATAATAATAATAATAATAATAATAATAATAATAATAATAATAATAATAATAATAATAATAATAATAATAATAATAATAATAATAATAATAATAATAATAATAATAATAATAATAATAATAATAATAATAATAATAATAATAATAATAATAATAATAATAATAATAATAATAATAATAATAATAATAATAATAATAATAATAATAATAATAATAATAATAATAATAATAATAATAATAATAATAATAATAATAATAATAATAATAATATTAATATTAATATTAATATTAATATTAATATTAATATTAATATTAATATTAATATTAATATTAATATTAATATTAATATTAATATTAATATTAATATTAATATTAATATTAATATTAATATTAATATTAATATTAATATTAATATTAATATTAATATTAATATTAATATTAATATTAATATTAATATTAATATTAATATTAATATTAATATTAATATTAATATTAATATTAATATTAATATTAATATTAATATTAATATTAATATTAATATTAATATTAATATTAATATTAATATTAATATTAATATTAATATTAATATTAATATTAATATTAATATTAATATTAATATTAATATTAATATTAATATTAATATTAATATTAATATTAATATTAATATTAATATTAATATTAATATTAATATTAATATTAATATTAATATTAATATTAATATTAATATTAATATTAATATTAATATTAATATTATTATTATTATTATTATTATTATTATTATTATTATTATTATTATTATTATTATTATTATTATTATTATTATTATTATTATTATTATTATTATTATTATTATTATTATTATTATTATTATTATTATTATTATTATTATTATTATTATTATTATTATTATTATTATTATTATTATTATTATTATTATTATTATTATTATTATTATTATTATTATTATTATTATTATTATTATTATTATTATTATTATTATTATTATTATTATTATTATTATTATTATTATTATTATTATTATTATTATTATTATTATTATTATTATTATTATTATTATTATTATTATTATTATTATTATTATTATTATTATTATTATTATTATTATTATTATTATTATTATTATTATTATTATTATTATTATTATTATTATTATTATTATTATTATTATTATTATTATTATTATTATTATTAATAATTAATAATTAAGCTCGAGTAGCTCCTCTTATAATATTACATTCTCCACTTACATTTCATCAAATGGATTTATGATCCATGGTGGTATTTCCATTGACAGAATATCTTCAAATCTGAATTTAAAATCATCATGCAGGGCAATCAAATGTTGAACGTATGTCTGAATATCTTCATCAAGGCATTCTACCTGCGACAAGTTTGAAAACTGTGAAAATTCGCGCCGACCAATATTTTCCTTCATAAATTTCAATTTACCAAGAAAAGTTGAAATTACACTCTTTGTTTCTATTAAATTGAGGCTGTCCCCTTGTAATTGTAAGTTAAGGTAATTAAAATTTTTGAACAAATCTGTCAATACGCGATGTCTGCTTTAAAATTGATCAACTTTTTTTTTAAATCAGGATCTTTACTTTCCAAAAACTCTAAAACTGAGTCAAAAAGTAAATAAAATCTTGATAAACATGCACCTTTCGACAACCAACGTACTTCGGTATGTAACAGCAACCGTTGGAAGTCTTCATCATTCTCATCGCACAATTGTGCCACCGAGATAACGTTTGTGAATGGAATCGATTTTTCTTTAAAAAAAATCACTCCAAACATTAAATATTGATTCACCTTTAGTGTCCGTCTTCAAAGTTTTCGCAAATAGTAGCTCTTCATGAAATTCTTCGCCCATAACAAATCAAACATATGCCAATAATAATGCATCATTGCCAGGTAAAGTTGACTCGTCCAGTTTAATAGAAAAATGAGTTGTTCATAGATAGAAACTTTCAACATCAGAGCTCATTTCATCAATACGTCTTTGTACAGTGTTGTTACTCAAAGAAATTCTTTTGAGTATGTCAAATGAAGATTTGTGCAGAACATTTTTAAAACCTCTTCAACATGATACTTGTTATTTTATCTATTTTTTATAGTGTTTTAAGCTCTTATGATTTTGGGGAGTGGGTCAGGTTATTAAATAACTCGTATTACTTTGAAAAAGTATGTTGAGTGCCACTATATTTAAAACTTACTAAACTTGACTATCGATTAGTGATAAAAATATAGAAGATCACTTACCATTAAGATATTATAATTAAATAAAGTTTTAGATAAGGTAGCAACAAATTCTAATTCACAGAGACTTACTTATTCAAATTTAGATGATTTATTCACTTATCTGTGGTACAAGAGATTGCATATAAGGAGTGACTTGTAGAAGCCTTCTTCGAAGGGACTCGAAACGATACTTTTCGGACAGCACAGGTATTAATCTTCATGAACACAAATCTCATACTTCTTTAGATGCAGCTTGAACTAAAC